GTCCAATCTCGCGTGGTACGCAGACCTGAGCATGCCCTAAAGTGGCACCAGCCAAGGCAGGTGTTGCACTGGTCTGACATACCGTGCAGATTGTAGGGGGAACCAGGAGTTGTTGGCGGCGGCGTGTGGGTGGTGGTGCGGTTGTGTGTGTTATGTGGTCTGTCGTGGCTGTGGTATGGTCTGTGGTGTTATTATGTTGTTGTGTTGTGGTGACTGTGTGAGGCTGCTCGGGTGGACTGAGGTTGGCCTTGGATGCTGCTCTGTTTGGGCAACAGGGGGCCACGTACGACGTGTTCCGCTGTCGATGTGTCCGTAGTCCTGAGCAGACTCTAAGGTGACTCCACCCCTCGCAGGCATTACACTTGACAGAGGTGGAGTTGTGGTGTAGTCGCCTCCGGCATACACAGCACTGGCACTGGGTTTGACTCGATGCCAGCCCTGAGTAGAAGAATACGTAGTGAATGTAGCCCTATGGACGAACAACTTCTGAGATACTTCGCCGACCTAAACGGGGTTAGATCGCCGAAACAACAGCCTTTGGTCGGGTAAAACCCGAGTCATTCCGGTACGTAGAACCGGCTGTCGTGGAAATGGTGTTTTGGTGCTCTCATTACTTGGTTTAATGCGGTGGCATAGTTCACATTGCCGAACGTACTGGTAAACGGACTCATACATGTTTGGCCAGTAATAGCGTTGTGAGATACGCCTATAAGTTTTCCAAGCACCCTGATGCGAATGTTGGTTATGATTTTCATCGAGGACTTTTGCTCTGTCAGAAGATGGTACACAAAGTGTCCACAGTATTTCCGCACTTTGATTGGAAAATTTCAATCGATGATATAGGAGGTTGTTCTCGATTTTATATCTATCTAATGGTTGTTTTGAGGCCATGGCGTGCATTTTGTTGTACCATTTATCGCACGTGTTTGGGTCAATGTTGATCACGGATGTGATTGGGGTACGATTAACGGGAAAATTACTCGGAAGGTCAATTGGATTTCTACGAACGATGTTGAGAAGAGCAAAAGAACGAGACAAGGCATCAGGAAGTTCTAAATGTTTTCCTGGTTTATGAATAATTTTGAGATCGTATGGTGATAATCGGATCGCCCAACGTTATAATCGGCCAGTTGGTTCTTTGAGGGTTTGTAGCCAGCGCAAAGCTGCATGGTCCGTTACCACAACCAATTCACGACCCTCAAAATATGGACGGAACTTTTCGACCGCGAAGAGAACGGCTAGGCATTCCCGTTCGGATGCTGTGTAATTTTGTTCGGCTTTCGAGTATTTCTTAGAAAAACACTGAACCACACGTTCATTCCCATCATGTTCTTGTACTAGAACAGCTCCCGCTGCGATCAGTGAGGCATCGGTATAAACCTTGAATGGTTTTGAATAATCGGCCATAGTCAGAACGGGAGTGTAGTTAAACACTCTTTGAGTTTGAGAAAGGCTTGTTCAGCAGCGGTATTCCATTCAATGGGTCCTTTTCGGTTTCCTTTATACAATTCACAAAGGGGGGCTGTGATCTCCGAAAAATGTGGAATAAATTTACGGTACCAGCCTGCTGCACCAACGAACCGTCTGACTTCTTTTGCCGTTTTGGGCCGTGCAAATTCAACAATCGCTCGAATACGAGATGGATTCGCAGATAAACCCTCTTGAGACAAAACATAGCCCAGGAATTCCAATCGTTTACAACAAAAATTCGATTTGGGTGTTGAGATGGTTAAGCCGGCCCCCGCCAGACGTTCTGCAACAATAGCCAATATCTTAACGTGTTCTTCAAACGGCGAAGTNCATGCGACGAAAAGCATAAAGTCTGTTACCGAATGCAAAAGCGGTTTTCAGTTGACTCGATTTTGCCAAAGGAATTTGAAAGAAAGCTTGAGACAGATCAATACTGGTTAGGTATTTAACTGACTTTAGTCGTGCTAAAATTTGGTTAGTATCCGTAATTGGATAGGCATTTGGAATGGTAATTTTATTCAGCTCTCTCGCGTCCAAGCGCACGCGACACGTTCCGTCTTTTCTCTTTACAGCCAGAATTGGTGAAGGCTAAGGGATTTCTTCGATGGTCATAATGATATCACGACTACGCATTTTATCCAATTCGGCTTGAACTTGGTCAGCCACGTATGGCGATACTGGATACTGGCGTTTCATGACGGGTTTTGCATCTGTTAAATGAAGTAACAAAATATTAAACACAGCTTGTACACACCTGTCGACACATATAAGAGCTAAATAAACTTGTCATTCAATTATCGGCATTCTCGTGTTTCATTACAGGTTATGGGACCCACGCGGTTTTTAATTTTTGCAAAGTTTTATTAAAAATAAAGATGGCTTCAAACATTATCTCAAGTATCCCAAAGCTAAAGGGAAGTGAAAATTATGAGGATTGGGCGTTCGCAGTAGAAAATTTCCTCATCCTGGAAGGAATGCAAAAGTGTATTAGTACGGAAGGAACAGACTTCGACGCCAAGGCAAAGGCGAAAATAATTTTAACCATTGATCCGCTTTTATACGTGCATATAAAGACTGAAACAAGCGCAAAAAACTTGTGGTTAAAATTAAAAGAATGTTCGATGACACTGGATCCTCCAGAAAAATTAGTCTTCTACGTAACCTCATTTCGATTCGGCGGGAAACCTGCTAGTCTATGGCACAGTATGTGGCCATGATCGTCGAAACAAGTCAGAGATTAAATAACACAGGTTTCAACATCAGTGACGAGTGGGTTGGATCGCTTTTATTAGCAGTGCTGCCAGAGAAATTTTCTCCGATGATAATGGCCATCGAGCACTCGGGTATAGACATTACCNTGGATCGCTTTTATTAGCAGGGCTGCCAGAGAAATTTTCTCCGATGATAATGGCCGTCGAGCACTCGGGTATAGACATTACCGCGGATTCGATCAAATCTAAGTTAATTGATATGGAGGACGAGTGTGACGTCAACAATGGCCAGAACGCATTCATGTCGAAAGCAGGGTGGATGCAGAAAAGAAAGGAGCAGCAAAACACGCAGACAAAGCCGAATATAAAATGCTACAAATGTAACAAATACGGACATTACAAGTCTCAGTGCAGCTTTGCACAGAAGAAGGAGAGAACCAACGCCTTCAGCGCAGTTTTTCTTAGTGGAAATTATAGCAGCAAAGAATGGTATATCGACTCTGGTGCCAGCATGCATATGACGAGAAATAAAAACTGGCTCAAAAATGTTTCCGACAAACGCGAAATTGAAGAAATCCTAATAGCTGATAAGTCGAAGATTTCTGTGGAATGCTCTGGTGATCTACAACTAACAACATTGGTGAATAGTACCGAATTCGTGATTCCAGTAACAGGTGTGTTATACGTTCCGAGTCTTGCTACAAATCTCTTATCTGTTAGTCAATTAATAAAAAAGGGCAACAAGGTTTTTTTTGAAAAGAATTACTGTTATATACGCAATCAAGAAAATGTAATAGTGGCTAAAGCGGAATTAGAAGAAGGTATATATAGAGTGAATGTCAAAGAAGTTGGATGTTTGCTTGCGCCTATTTCTGGAAGTGTATGGCATAGACGTTTCGGGTACTTGAATATCAGTGATCTTAACGCTATGAAAAATGGAGCTGTAATAGGCATGTCGTACACAGACAAACCCCAGACGGGTAAGAACGATTGTATTGTTTGCTGTCAAGGAAAGCAAACATGGTTGCCGTTCACACATAAGGGAAACAGAAGTCAAAAGTTGCTTGAGGTAATACATGCCGATATTTGTGGTCCTATGGAAAGTAAATCTATAGGAGGTTCGCGATATTATCTGCTGTTTGTAGACGACTTCAGCAGAATGGCTTTTGTTTATTTTTTAAAGGGAAAGAGTCAAGCCTTTGGTTGTTTTAAGATGTTTAAATCATTGGTTGAAAATCAAACAAATTTTAAAGTAAAGGCTCTCAGAACTTATAACGGGTTGGAGTTCTGCAGTAATGATTTTGAGAGTTACCTACAGAATTCAGGAATTATTCATCAAAAGACAAACCCATATACCCCTGAACAAAATGGTTTGTGCGAGAGTATTAACCACACTATAGTGGAAAAGGCCAAGTGTATGTTGGCTGAAGCGAGACTACCAAAAAAAATTCTGGGCAGAGGCAGTTAACACGGCTGTTTATTTGAGAAACCGGTCTTTGGCATCGGGTTTAAACAACATGACACCTTTCGAGGTGTGGTATAAGAAAAAGCCGGATGTTAGTCATATAAGAATTTTTGGGAGTAAAGTAATGGTTCACATACCAAAAATGAAACGATTGATGGAACAGTATCTTGAGTTGAACTCATCGTTCCCCGTTCATTCTCAAAACCATCGAAGGTCGAGTTCAAACTTAATCGGGAATCGCCCAACGGGATTCCCGTATTCGGTGAAGACATCCGAAGTTCACGAATCTTCGACTGAAATTTT